ACATTGTGGCCATAAAGATGACAGCATTCACACTGGACTTTGTTCTTTTATTGAAACTTGCATCTTGTGTCCATCTTGGTTATGGTATGGGAATCGTTGCAAATTGGTTTAATCCTGTGAACATCCTGTGTGTCAATGATGAAATTGACCATGGTTGTTAATCAAAGATGCTCTGGGACAGGTTTATTCTGGGCATCCAGTGTGATGCATCGATGATTGACCAATTGGACCGGGAGACAGCATCCCGCCACATAATTGTAGTGTGTCATTGTTTGATAAATCAATTCATGACATTGATCCAGCTCCGTATTGAGATGTTTTTGTCCCAATTTACAGGATCTGACGTGATCCAGTAACTTTCCCACATATGTTCCTGGATCATCCTCAGGCACCCATGCAGGGCCCCATCCATTTTGGATGGGCTTAGTAAGGTAGTCAAGGGAGTGACGAGCAAGAGAAAAAAGGGCCTCATATCCCCTACTATTGATGTCGTATGGTGCAATGAGTCCGCGGATAAGCAAGTTCTCTGCAGTTGGAATAAGACAGCCCAGTCGTTGGTAGATGTACATACTAATCTTCTGTATATTCTCATCAGTTTCTCTATGGTTTGGTGGAAGACAAGATTCCCATTGGGATAGCTGGTCCAGGGAAGCAAGTGGGAGGCTTTCGAATGACATCATGGTATGGAATTCATTATACAAGTCGGTAAATTCCGATGCCGTAAGGTACCTGTTGGTTGATGGAATTAGGATATGGTCAAAATCTTTGAAGTCCATGGCATGAAGGGCTTTACTAATGCAATGATTCTGTTGGTGGACAGACTGTTTGTCCATAATATCATGTTTCCGGTTCATGTATTCATCAAACTTCCTATCACTATCACTTTGCTGAGGTTGTGGGTGTAGGCCATGGGCTTGTGAGCCCCAAAGAGATGGTTTCTTGTGGGTATCTTCCAGGGTCGGAGTGGTTGGAGGTTTGCCCTGGTGTTGGATAACTTCCTTGACTTGGTGTTGAATGTAGTCTTTCAAGGTTGTTGATTGTTTAACAAAGGATTGAATTGTGTTATCCATCTGTTGACAGAACTGGTCCGAGGTGATGACATTGGACAGGGAGGTGGAGATCTGTGTGGATATGGTGTCGCTAATATATTGGTCTGTCAAGAGGTGTTGCTGGACAGATTGCTCTATATCCAATGTCGCAATTGCTTTTGTTATACTAATATTTTCCTGCCTTTGGTTATGGTTTTGTCCAGATCAGTGCGTTGTGAGATCCTGTTTATGTGAAGATAACTTGGTTATGTGTGCAGAGCATAGCTATTGCATCTTGGTTGTTGTACGGGCAAGGTCTGTGTCCAATTGGTTCAGTGTATCTGAAGCTTGTGAGATGATTTCCCGTTTTGCTTGGGCTACGACTGTATCCTTGAGGATCTGAATAATATGGTCCTTATGTTCTAGTTTGTCATGGATGATGTTTTGAATGGTCTCTTCAAAGGTGGCTTCCATGGCTCTGGTTTGTTCAAGGACTGCTGTCATGACCTGTTTTTCTATATCCTTTCCTTGCTGTTGAAGGGTATGAGCGCAATGTTCAACAATGGAGTTGAGCTTTTGGGTAAGGTCTGCAGTGATGGTCATGGATGTCTTACTGGTGATGCTACTGGCTTTGTTGCGCAAGTGTTTTAAATGAATTGTCTCATTGATGATGGGTTCTAAGACAGTGGATGCTTTTGCAGTTCTTTGGTCTAGAGCCCATGCAGTATTGGCAGCAGCCTCAATGTTGTGCTCCAGTTCATTGGTATTTGAGATTGAGGTGATATGGTTCTGTAGTGTACGGACAGCATCCTGCGCCTGTTGAAGGGGTTCTTTACGTGTATTGGAAAGTTCTGTGTTAGTGGTTTTGCTTGGAGGTTGGTCTCAAAATGCTGTTGCAGCATCTGGACCATCGTATTGATAGAGTGCAATTGGCGTGCCCAGTCTGTTGAATCCTGTTCACTGCCATCTGAGGTCAACATTTGGGCATTTGCCAGCTGTTCATCAGGTGGATTATGTCATGGTGGGGATGGGTATTGTGCATTATGTGACAGTGCTGGTCCAATTGAAGTTCAGCGTTGATGTTGTTATAGGTTTGATCCATATTAACAGGGCAGTCCGCCATGGTTGTGGAGGTGTCATCATTGGCATTTGCAAGCTGTCGTTCACAAGCAAATCTCTGATGTAGATCAGTGGGTGCAACTTCCGTTGAGGAATCTTCTATGGAGGAGTTATCATTTAACATGGTTTTCTTTTCTGTGCTTTTGGGTGTATCCTCACTTAAACTTGTATCTTTATCTGAGGCAACGGGGATGGCGTCCCTGGGTGAGGATGCATCCTCATTATTATTGGATGTACGAGGGGGGTCAGGCGACGCAGTTCTTCACTTGATGGTGGATCTGGGCTTCTGGTGAGATGTACTGGCGTTTTGGATTGGTGACGTGTTGTTATCTCCTCCGGAGGAGTGTCTTTGTTTGGAGGCAGCAGTGTGTCCATGTAGTTTATAAAGGCAATACTGTAGTGGTATCGATTTAGTGGGTTGGACGGAGGTGGGATCTGGAAGTGATTGTGGTGGAGGAGCTCTTTAAGAGTATCCTCCAAGGCAACAATCTTGTCAGTATCCGATAGAGCAGTTGTGTGTATTACACTAAGAAGAGAGGTATAACTGATTGGAGTAGGTGGATATCTTGGTTTAAATGGGAAAAGGCTCTTGTCGTATGGAGGGGTCAGATTGTTTGGGAAAGACCAGTTGTAGTGCCTGTAGTTCACTTTGGATGTTGCCATCATATCCAACAAGCTTCAGTTTTGGATTGGATGGGGCTTTTGTGGGTGTCTTCACCAGGTATCGTCCAATCTGTGAGGACTTAGCGGGGCGTCGGGAGTTCCCCTTGTTGTTGGGCTTCTGTTTAGAAGACAAAGTTGCTGGCATGTTGTTGTTGTTGTTGTTGTTGTTGTTGTTGTTGTTGTTGTTGTTGTTGTTGTTTTTGTTGTTGTTGTTGCTTCTGCTGTTGTTGTTGCTGCTGTTGTTGTTGTTGTTGTTGTTTTTGTTGTTTTTGTTGTTGTTGTTGCTTCTGCTGTTGCTGTTGCTGTTGCTGTTGTTAATGGAAACGCTGTATTGTGGTGGTTGGTTCACTGAGGATTATCATGAAAGTTCCACGGTGCGGGGGTTCTGGTGTGGTGACACCAGGGTTTGGGGATCTGTAGACTGTTACGTKAACCAGTACTGGTTCTCCTGCCGAAAATCACAAGAATGTTGGCGGGTCGTTGTTGTTGGAATCCGGAAGGTGACGAGGAGTGGCTCGTCTCACTCACGGAGCCTGTTGGGACACCATTTTGGCCCCAACTGTAGTCTTTGTGGAAGAAGAGGCTGATGAGCAGCAAAGGTAGGTCTATTGTTGCTCATAACCTGCAAAATGTACGTGTGCTCTTTAGTGCTGTATAAATACGTGTTTACAATAAAGAGTGAGCTTATTCACTATTCACTCGTGATTTAGGCTCACACTGGTACCGTACCTACCGTCGAAAAACCGAGGTGAACACCTTTCATCACTTCTATCAATGAAGCCCTGATTTTGACAGCACTCGTGCCGTGATCACAATACAACTTGTCATTTCTAACACTACCCAAGTAGAGTTAAGCTCTTTCAATGCAAGGTGAAATAGCCAATTTAATTGGAAGAGTAGCAATCAACCGACCCACGTAAAGAATGTGGGATGTCCTCACGAGACCGAGTAGCATTTGCGCCGTGCTGGTTATTTTATGTGTACAGTACCGATCTAGTGTTGTGGACTTAATCTATATAGCCAAAGAAGACGGTACTGTGCAGACTTTTCTCAACCTACATTTCAGATTTGCGGATATATTGCGGGGATGGTATCACATATCACTCGAGATCGTTCGAAATTTCGGGCAAAAACATATTTTCTCGTTTGGAGATGGAAGTGATTGTGTCAAATACGCCAGGCAACCTCTTTCGCACAGAGAGGCAAGTCATTCAAAAAATAATGACGCCGTTGAAGGATCTAGTCGAAAAGGTAGTCACAAAAGCTATTTGTCACAAGGACAACCTCCACCACTGGTGTTGGTTACCGATGACACTCCGTATACGAAAAATGAGTCTATGGAGACAACAATTGACTCCCCTTGCGTTCTCACTACGTCGAAATCGAGTGCATCCCAAGGTGAAAATGAGAAGGATTCGCTTGCACCGGCATTTTTGTGCAGAGATGACTACCCAGAAGGATGGTTAATATACCACTCTGTTTTGGGAGTCATTTCTCTGACGGAAGCAGAAAGATATGACGAGCAGCAACTTCTGGATAAGGGGAAAAGCGATAAAAACCAAGATTATCGCAAAAAAAATACGTTACACTTTCAGAGCGCTACAAATGAAACTGGAATCAGGCTTGCGAAGACGATAGCAACAGGCAGTGATGGTTCATGAATGACTTCGGAAAGAATGATTCTGCTTTCAACCTACCAAGGTATTTAAGAAACTGGGAACATTTCTGTCGAAAGCTCAAAGGGATGTATCTGCAGTTAAACCGTCACAAGCTACCAATAAAGTCTACGCTATGTGTGGTGAAAGCCCTCAGTCATGAGCAATGATACTCCTCTCGCGCCTAGCAGCAGTAACAACAACGAAAGAATAATCGAAAGACAAAAACAACTGCGTGAATCTAAAGGCTACGATGTGGGTTATCATTTAACTTCTTGTCTTTTTTATTTCGAAGATAAGAATATTGATAGGATACTCGACGGACGTTGATCGAAAACTGGTTGATTTGGCTATATTCATTTTTTTGGCGAGGGATGCGAAAACGATTAAAAAATCGAGCTGAATGCCGCTCGCCCTACTGTAGCATGATCTACCTTCTGATTGGATATTGTTTCGCATAATTATGTACGTAGTAAATGGCAGAGTATAGCTGATGCTGAAATGTCAAGAAGTCTGGAATAATGTGGGCGAATGCGGTTAGAAATTTGTATAGGGTTGTGCAATGTTTTTAACTCTTCTTAATATCATCATTAGTAAAATCACTTAAACGTCCGCGTCGTCTCTGTCCGGATGCTTCATATTGACGTGAACAAGAAACAAATAAAGCTTGATTAGAGTTTCTTTGTGCCCACCTTTTGATATTCAGGCAACCAATTAATCTTGAACCACTCGATTGTTTCTGGCCAGCCCTTCTCAAAGGAAATAAGGGGTTTGTATAGCAGATCTCGCTTCGCATTTTTGATGTTGAAATATCGATGAATAATAAGCATTTTGACCGTGAAGGGTTTCAGCTTGAACTGTTTTCCCGTCAAAAAAGACACAAAATCACAGATATAGGCGACAGAATATAGGAGCCATACAGGCAAGTGAAACTTTGAAAACAAATCAGCGAATCCCATTGCAATAACTGCTTGGTTGAGGATTTTCCAAAAGTATTGTGGTTCGTCGTCAGTGATGACATAAAATTTCGCCAAAGCTGGACTATTTTTGTAGAGAGCATCTGCTCCACACAAGAGCCCATGAGAATAATTGTCGATGTGACAAAGGCTGATTTTGTTCTCTCCTTTTCCAAAAACTCTCAGGTTACCAGATCCCGCCGCCTCGAGAAGCTTTGGAAGGAAAAGAGAATCGTATTCTCCGTATAGTTGGTGCGGTGCAACAGATATTGTAAGCAGACTATCTGAGCACGCTTTCTCAACAGCCTTTTCTCCCGCTGCCTTCGTTTCTGCATACAATGCAACGAATTGGTCTGGGATAGGCATGTCGTCTTCGGATAAGCCCTCGACGTCCCCCCCCCTAAATCGAGTGGAAGGACTCGAGGAATACACCAGCTTGCTCACATTGTATTTTTTACAGCCTTCGATGATACGCAGAGTTCCACGGTGGTTCACTTCCCAATAGAGCTCCTTCTTGTGAAAAGGTCCTACCAATGCTCCAATATGAAAAACAATGTCCAACTTGGGAACCTTTTTGAAGGCAGCATCGACGGCATCATCACTGCATAAATCACCTTCTGTTTGCGACAAAATAATGATCTTCCCACCAGTCTTTTTCTGGATAGCTTTAAAGCGTTCCTGCTGAACTGCATTCGGAACTGCAATATCAAATGCGATGACGGTTTTCGCACCCCGCTCCAACAACATTTCCACCAACCGGCAACCAGCAAATCCGCTAGAACCGGTCACCAAGGCGTTGCAACCAGCCTTGGCAGTTTCAAATCCAGGGTTAGTTGGGGGGATAGAGGATATCATATTCTAATTTTGAAATTGCTTGTTCTGGTCAAATCCTTTCGCGTTAATTCGCGTCTAATGCTCTTTCTTGAAACAAATCTGAGAAGGGAAAAAATAAGTCATGAAGCATTTTTCTCCAAATTCAAAATTACTCTGAAACATACCGGTACGGGTACCGTACGTACGAGTACCGTACGTAAGTTACGTCAGGGGTCATACCCCTGTGTTACGTCCTGTACTACTTACTGTACAGCATGCGCGAAGGAATGGTGATACTGTAGTACGGTAGTGCAGTACAGTACTGTACAGTAACAAGATAGAAGTATTTTTTATGACAGTACGGTACAAGTACGTACTCGTTAGGTACGTTACTTGTAGCCTGTCCAAATCGATCGACGCGTTGCCCTAGAAAAATGACCGAAAACTAACAAAGTTTAACCAAAATCGTACTTTCACTCTAGTAGACACCTGTTTTGGGACAGATGAAGTAATGAGAAAGAAATACGGTTAAAATCTTACTACCGTACCTTGAAAGGATTGAAGAGTACAGCACTCACTACTCGTACCGGTACCTTTACAGGTACGAAGGGGTCATACGCAAGTGACGCAGACAGGGGTCTAAATTATGACCCCTGGTCATCCGTACGTACGGTACAGGACCAAAATACAGTATGATCTCAGTTTCCCGGTACGACAACTACGTACCGTAGTACAGTACTGTATTGTGGAGACGTAGAGGAACGGTACTCGTACGTACATACATGCCACTGTACGAACTACGAGTACTGCACAGTACTGTACGTCTTGTCAGCTCGTTTTTTGAAAAGAGATCAAGAGAGATAATGACATTCGTAACGGTACGTAGCATATTAGGTGATCGTATGTAGTGTGGAAGATGGTAAAACGTACGTCATGAATAAGGATCCATCCATCATCGACCCGAACAACCTCACCAACAACAGATCAGCATTCAGCCACAAAAAAATAAAATCCGCCCTGAACGCCCATTTCTGTCACGCATCCACAAGATTTTCACTTAATTATTTCACAGAAAGAAAGTAGGCAGAAGGATTTTTTATACTACAAGCACTTGACAAATCACCTTCAACAACTATTGTCAGGTTGGGTTATAATTCAAAAGAAGATCTTTTTCAAGTTTTCTCATGTTTCGATCAAATTTTCGGTTTGCCATCCTTGTTGTTGGAGCTATGGCGTCAATGCTTTCCTCGTCAGCGTTCGTGAGGCACAGGGTGGTCGTCTCCGCCTTCTCATACTTTGGTTTACATAAAACGAAAACAAAATCCTTATGTTTTACCAGAAATGGAAACACTTGTCTTCTGAAAAGACAGGCATCGCAAGATCGGGCGAGACAATCTCTTCGAATGAGCTCCAGCAGTCTATCTTCGACATCAACCGAATCGACGATCATACCACGGGTGAAAACTGTAGATGCTACCGACGCCACTGACGGGAAACCTGTCGTTATTAAGGGATGGGTGAGAACTGTCAGAAAACAAAAGACTTTGGCTTTTGTTGAAGTCAATGATGGATCCAATATGAAGGGCATACAATGCGTGTTGTCGTTTGATGCGATTGATGAAGATTCTGAAAAAGGTATGGGATTTTTTGGGTTTGTTTCTAACGATCTAATCGTTTTCATTTTTGGAGTTCTCGATTACCTATTGAACTGATCTTTCTTGAAGCAAATATTCTAACTAATTGAATTTTTCGGCCTCATTCATTCCAAATCTAGAACTTGCTAAGATCACCACTGGTTGTTCTGTAGTTGTCGAGGGCCCTCTTGTTGAGTCGCAGGGGGGTAAGCAAGCAGTCGAAGTAGCAGCTACAAAGATTCGCGTTGTTGGCGAATGTCCAGGAGATACCTATCCACTTGCAAAGAAACGTCATTCGTTAGAATATCTAAGGACGTTAGCTCACTTGCGTCCTCGTACGAACACTATTGCAGCGGTCGCGAGAGTTCGTTCGCAATTGGCAGGTGCTATTCACGCCTTTTTCCAACAGAGTGGATTTGTTTATGTGCAAACTCCTCTGATTACGGCTTCAGACTGCGAAGGTGCGGGAGAGCTTTTCCGCGTGACGACCCTTGACATCGACAATAAATCATCTTTACCATTGGTGAAGACCGAAGAAGGTAAAAGCACAACTGATATCGTAGATTCAAGTCAAGATTTCTTCGGGAAACCCGCGTACTTAACGGTCAGTGGTCAACTTGGTGGTGAAACATACGCATCTGCAATGGGTGATATCTATACATTCGGGCCGACGTTCCGGGCAGAAAATTCTCAAACCACTCGTCACTTGGCGGAATTTCACATGGTTGAACCAGAAATGGCGTTCGCAGACCTCGATTCTGCGATGGAAAACGCCGAGGACATGTTGAAATACGTTGTAAAACATGTGTTGGATTCATGTGAGGAAGACCTGGCCTTCTTTGGTAAATTCTACGACAAGGGTCTTATCAAACGGTTAGAAAAACTTGTTTCCCAACCCTTTGTCCGAGTATCGTATCGCGATGCAATTAAATACCTACAAGAAGAAATTGCCAAGGATCCGTCGAAATGGCAGTTTCCCGACGTTGAATTTGGGACTGATTTATCAACTGAGCACGAGCGTTGGCTTGCAGAAACCAAGTTTGATAGCGCAGTATTTGTTTACAACTATCCGAAAGAAATTAAAGCTTTCTACATGAGAGACAATGAAGAGGATGATGGAGAAACTGTAAATGCGATGGACTTGTTGGTGCCTGGTGTTGGTGAATTGGTGGGTGGAAGTCAGCGAGAAGAGCGACTTGAGACGCTGTTGGAGAAAATGGGTGACCAAGATCTGGATCCTGAAGATTATTGGTGGTATCTTGATCTCCGTAGATTTGGGTCAGTCCCTCACTCTGGGTACGGTCTAGGGTTCGAAAGGCTTGTAACGTATGTCTGTGGAATTGAAAATATCAGAGAAGCAATTGCCTTTCCTAGATACCCAGGACATGCAGAATTCTAATGAATGTCTCCTTGGGCATTTGAATTTTCCCCTTGGTTTAATGAAAACCCAACTGATGCTTAAAACTTGCCTCAAATTCTCTTCCTACTCGCGTCATCTGAATGAATGATTCGTTTTTTGTCGTCACAAATTCACTGGCAAGAGTATGGTATCTTGTAATAGTTAGCAGTACGCATGAGAGAGATCTCTTCTCAATATATAAAACATCTGCCCTTCAGGTTTATCAGGATCATTACAAAATTGAGCCAGTATTGTGCGTAATGTTTCTTTTGCCAAACAAAAAATGTTGAGCTATTTTTCCTTGACAGACTCTTTTCCTAATTTGTCTCAAAATGACTAAGGTACAGGACAGATTGTAGAGTAAATAGGTGCTGAACACTGTGAAGATACCGGTAGGAACAAAAAATACTGTAAAAAATACTTCACCAAAGAATGAAGTACAGTAACTTTTAAGTATATTGTACCCTTACTTGTACCAATATTTTTTTGTATGGTGATCTTGAGTTTCCACAGAAGTATTATTTATGATACCTACTAGAGCTATTCAATACAATTCCAGTGCTGACAAATTGAAGGCAGTTATTTATGATACCTAGTACATACTGCAGTTACTTTGTGACTGCCAGATATCTCCCACACTAGAGTTACTAGATGATGCAAGCTCCGTGCACGAGATTACGTGTACTCTTAGTATGTTAAGTGTGTATGAAAATTGAAATTATAAGATTAAGATTAC